TAATTTCCATTGGTACGTTGATTTCCAGTTTATGTTGCGCTAGTTCTGGTGGGGCAAACCTAGCGGCTTGTTGAAGAGTACTTATAAACTGTTCAGTTATTTCGTCGAGATCGTTTTCATTTTTAATTCTTACTTTAAGGTTGATTTTTGAATCAATTACATTTCTGAAACACTCCCAATTCGTTTTGTGGTTGTACAGTTTGCGTTGTACCTTCCGTTTTATTACATTAGTACTTAGGGTCAAAATTATGGGCGTATGATCCGAAGATAAGTCTTCATTACTTTCTATATCAATATAATTACTTGAAATATTTTTTGTTATAAAAAAATCTAGCAGATCCGGTATCTTCTGTATGTCTGTTGGCCAGTAGGTGGGACTCCCAGTTGTTATTATGGTATAGTTTTTCTCATATATTAACTCTGCCAGTTGTTTACCTTTTGGAGTCGTAAGTCTTGAGCCCCATATTATATTTTTAGAGTTGAAGTCACCACCAACTATAAATTTATTTCCTAATGTTTCAAAATATTCTTCATAATCGTTTTTCTTTAGATTATATCGTGGAGGGCAATAGATGGCTGAAACAATCATATTGTGTTCGAAACCTTTTATTTTAACTGATGTTGCCTGTATATGGTTTTGTTGATATTTCGCTAACTCATAGTGTTCTATTGATGATTTTATTAGAATACCAGCCCCAGCGTGTGCTGTGTTGTCAGGATGATTAGTACCATAAAAGTTGTAGAATGGAATTTTTATGTATGAAGACTCTGTGAGATGAGTTTCGCTTATTAATAAGATGTCAATCATTTGTATTTGAAGAAACATAGTTAATTCATTTAGATGATTTAGAATGCCATTTGCATTCCATTTAGCAATCCGCAGTGAGTTAGCCATTATTTCTTAGCCAAAATAGTGAGCATCTGCATGATCATATTATTTTGTTCCATGAGTTGTTTAAACATATCTCTAAAACTGTTCAAGAAATCCTGTAGTACCGTACTTGTTTCGGGCCCGCTGGTTGCGTTTCTTTGTTGATTTCGGATGACTTCCGAGTAGCTCATGTGATTTGTGTTTCTGATGTTAATATTTTGACGACTTGTGTTTGGATCATGAATATTTCTCGTATCATGTAATTTTTTTGTTGTATATGTTTTCTTGTAAGCAGTGGAGTACGCGGCCTTGTATTCTTCGCAACCTCTGTAATTTGAGGGGTGATCTTTACCGCAAAGTGCGCACGTAGCAGGCGTACTTTTTGGTTTTACGCAAATTTTTGAGTTATGATTTTCTCCACATTTGACACAAGCAAATGGTCGATTGCAATATGTTTTGCAATGACCATAATTTTGGCATCTTGTGCATTGTATTAATCCTTTTCTCTTTTTGCGCGCTTCAATTACTACAATATGGTTCAACAACTTCGTTATATTGTAAATTTCTTTATTATTATCAGAGGGTTCCAAATCAACAAAAAACATGTTGAGTGGCTTTTTAGTTATATACGATCTCATATTTATTATATTTCTGACCTTGTGATTTTTCTTCTCTAGTTCCGTTTTTATTTCGTTGATATCGTATGTATGATGGATATTTTTGAGTACCACTCTGTATGCTCTTTCATTTCTAAGTTGATAAGTATGATAAACAGTACCTTTTGTTTTGAAAAAGTTTATAAGCAGCTTGTATTGCTCGGGCTGTTGAACATTTATTTTCACTGTATCGTCCGACATTGATTTTGTATAATATTGTTCTCTGTTTATTACACTATTAATATCAGATACCATATCAGAAAAATTATTTACGTTATATAGAAATATAGGAGGTGGCCTTGTAGTTTTCTCGGTGTTATCAGTTTGTGTTTTTGTTGTTTCGGACGGATGACCTTTGTTTGTTTTTAATGCATCGAACCTGTTTCGAGTCGGCGTTATGTTTACATTTTCGACATATTTATTAGCCGATGTGCGTCTGCGTTTGCTGCCTGGTTCTATTGTTTGCCAAGAAGTTGACGGAACTATTTCGTTCATAATCGTATCGTCTGATTGATTTTTTTCATTAATTGAACTATTAGTTTTCTGATTGATGATTACTTGTTTGCTGCCTGGTTCTATTGTTTGCCAAGAAGTTGACGGAACTATTTCCTTCATAATCGTATCGTCTGATTGGTTTTTTCCATTAATTGAACTATTAGTCTTCTGTTTGTTGATTACTTGTTTAATATATTCATTGTCCATCGTCGACGTATCATGAAGAATGTTGATAGTTTCAACTAACGGAGGGATAGAATAAGTTATATTTTCTTGATTTTGCATACTTGTAATAAAATTATTCACTTATTTACAATTAAATGCCCCCCCTAAAAGGGGTTTGTTGTACGAAACACTGTATCACTACACTAGATATTTGGTGATTAACAATCACACTTGTTGTTTACGTAACACTATTGCGCACTATTGAATTTCAGCTTCGATCCGTTCGGGTCGGCTCACATAATAAGTAATAGTGTAAACAATAGTGTTTTCTACCTGTGCCAGTACCTGCGACAGTGCCCGCATTGCGTAGTTTATACAGCCAATCACGTGTCGCCATTGCGGGGGACATGGCGTTGTTTATAAACACAGTGACATTTATAATTATTATTTTCATCGTGTCAAATAAGTGTCATTCAACAAGTTAATTTTTCAAAGCTTTAAATCGTGAATAATACTTCTGAAAATTTTATCACTGAATCACAACAAATTCTACAAGATGATTCTACAACTAACGCAGAATTTGTTGAAACGCATATTCTACCACAAATGAATCAACAGCGAACTTCTTCGCAAACGTCATAAGATATCGAAATGCTTCCAAGTGACAATAATTTGCAATCGCACAAACCATATCCAGTAACTTTCAGGGACATGCGTTTTAACGCGCAATATCAAGAGCGGAAACTGGCCATGAGTAAAAAAAGACAGCAAAATGAATCTGCACAAACCGATAATGTCACAAAAAGGCAACCACAAAAAATTATTGGTTAGATCCGATACCAACCAAGAACTATTATAATATATTACAATCAGTTGCTCCGGAAAACGACAAAATGGACGAACAGCCTTCAACTTCAGCGCCCCCAGTGGAAAAAGTTGTAACTCCGCCACCGATTTTTGTACATGGGGTCAATGACATAAAACCTCTAATAGACTTGCTAGAAAATAATGTTTAGAAACTCTATTCATACAAAACCGTTGGTTTGAAGGAAATTAAAATTAATACCAAGAATTCCCACACATACAATACTGTTCTCAAATTATTGAAAGACAAATGTACTCAACTTCACTCATACCAGGAAAAAACAAAAAGGGCATTTAAAATTGTAATCAAAAATCTTTACCATAGTACAGACATCAAAATCTTGTCAAAAGAAATCTCAGATCTTGGGCATAAAGTCATACGAATTTACAACCTAAGACAGCGTACTACTAAACTTCCGCTAAACATATTCGTTGTTGAACTGCAGCAAGACAAAAATAATAATAAAATATACGCAACTGAATTTTTATATAAAACAAGTTATAATCGAACCCATGCGCCATCCTCGAGAAGTTCCTCAATGCAGTAGGTGCCAATGTCTAGGACATACAAGAAACTATTGTACAAAAGATACACGTTGCGTAAAATGTGCCGGTAATCATCTCACTTCAGATTGCTCATGGAAGGACCCAATCAACAGTAACGTAAGATGTGCATTGTGCGATTCAAACCATCCAGCTAATTATAAAGGGTGCCAATATATCAAGCAGAAAAACATCGGCGATTCCCACCACTAAGGACAAAAAAAATCGCACAACAACCTACTGCAAGTAGCAGACCCTCACTAATACGGCCAAATGTTTCCTTTTCTCAAATAGTTAACAACGAACAAAACGCAAATAATCATCAAAATCCTCAAGAACATGAATCATCTACAAATACCAATCAAACAAATGTAAGTTATCAAAATGACATACATGAATTAAAATCTATGATAAAGACCTTAGTAGACCAAATAGGCATCATGCTCAAACTTCTGGCAACCGTTCTTCCCAATAACAAATAATGGACACAAATTTCAAAATTTGCACATGGAACGCCAATGGTTTAATACAGCACTTACAAGAAGTTAAACATTTCATTATACAACACAACATAGACATACTTCTCATTTCAGAGACACACTTCACAAGCAGAAGTTATATAACAATACCTCAATACTCCATCTATAATACAAATCACCCTGACGATAAAGCTCACGGTGGGACAGCAATAATAATAAAATCAAATATAAAACACCACATCATGGAACCTTTTTGTGAACATTTTCTGCAGGCTACAAACATTTCCGTGCAATTTCTTCATAAATTTATAACTATATCATCAATCTATTGCCCCCCCAGACACACAATCCTGAAAAGCCAATTTGAGTCATTTTTCAACGCGCTGGGCAACACATTTATTGTTGGAGGCGACTTCAACTCCAAGCACACGTACTGGGGATCAAGACTCGTAAACCCCAGAGGATGCGAACTTTACAATACGGTTGCATCACTCAGTCTACTACCCATATCTACTGGCGAGCCAACCTACTGGCCATCTGATCTTCAAAGGATACCAGATTTGCTGGATTTCTACATCACCAGAGGTTTTCCAAGAAATTCGCTAAAATCTTCCACATGTCTGGACTTAAACTCCGACCACTCTCCCGTTTTCTTAAATATACTCAATCATAAACCCATCAACAATCTAAATAAATACTTGACTACTAAGTTTACATGCTGGAACAAATTTAGAGAGTATTTAGACAACAATCTAAATTGCAACATACCATTAAAATTCGAGAGTGACCTCAACGCTGCTGTTGACCTGCTAACCTTGACCTCCCACGCCGAACAATAATTACAACATTGATTATCCAATACAAATAAAAGAAAAAGTGGCTATTAAAAGAAGACTTCGGAAACAATGGCAACTCACAAGATCACCGATGAACAAATCAAAATTAAACAAAGCTTGCAAAGAGCTCAAAACCTGTCTTCGAGAACACAACAATAAGATCTTTGAAACCAAACTGAAAAATCTATCAGCTACTTCAGACACAAACTACTCACTCTGGAAAGTCACCAAAAATTTTAAACAACCAATTATTCCTGTTCCAGCTATTAAAGAAGGAAATAATACATGGGTCAAAAATGAACAGGATAAAGGCAACTCGTTTGCCAACTTTTTCGAACAAATTTTTCACCCTCTGCCACAGCAATGCAGTACCCAAGAAAAAGAGTTTATTCACAATAACATAAAAGATTCTTTAACATACGGCGACCATTCAGACACTCGTTTTTCTCTATCTGAAGTAGCACTTGAAATAACGAAGTCAAAATCAGGCAAAGCCCCTGGGCATGATCAAATCACGATACATATGCTGAAGCAACTCCCACAAAAAGCCTTGAGATTTCTAACCATTCTGTTCAACTCCATTATCGGACTAAAAGTATTTCCGTGTTCCTGGAAAATTGCAAAAATAATTTTAATACCAAAACCTGGCAAAGATCCCACTCTGATGGAATCCTACAGGCCAATTAGCTTACTACCCATCTTGTCTAAAATTTTTGAAAAATTACTGCTTAAGAAGATCCATGCAATTTTGAGTGACAAGAACACAATTCCGCAATATCAATTCGGCTTTAGGAAACTCCACTCAACAATCGAACAAACTCACAGAGTTGTCCAGGAAATCAACTCATCTTTACAAGAAAAAAAATATTGCTCAGCCGCATTTCTAGATGTCTCACAGGCTTTTGATAAGGTGTGGCACACCGGTCTCCTCTACAAGATAAAAACAAACCTTCCAGCTAATTTATACCGACTACTTCAATCATACCTGGCAAACCGACAGTTTTTTATTAATATATCACATTGCAACTCTCCTCTGAAGCAAATAAACTCAGGCGTACCACAGGGAAGCGTTTTGGGCTCCACATTATTTTTATTATTTACCTCAGACATGCCTACCACAGCTGACACCAACATCGCCACTTTTGCAGATGATATCTGCATTCTATCGAAACACGAATGCCCTACAGCTGCGTCTAACGCCCTGCAACAGCATTTAAATTTAGTAGAAATGTGGCACAAATTTTGGCGACTTGAAATTAACAATCGAAAATCATCACACATCACCTTCGCGTTAAGAATGGAAACATGTCCGCCCGTCTCTATCAATGGGGTTCAACTACCTCAGGTTGAACATGTAAAATACCTGGGGTTTCACTTGGACAGAAGGCTTACGTGGAAAAATCATATAATGAAAAAACGTTTCCAGCTTGAAGAGAATTTTAAAAAACTTTACTGGCTGTTGGGTCCGAAGTCCAAACTATCCACCTACAACAAGCTTCTTGTATACAAAGTCGTCTTAAAACCAATCTGGACTTACGGCATTTCACTCTGGGGTAGTGCCAGTCGATCTAATATAAACATCTTACAGAGAGCTCAAAACAAGATCCTTAAATAAAAAAATACTGGAGGCTCCCAGGTATGTACCTAATTGGCTTGTTCATCAGGACTGCAACATACAAACAATAGCAATAACAATAAAAAAAATTTAGCATTCTTCTTAATTTCAAAACAATATTATACTACCAAACGTTGATTTTATAAAATTATGCATCATAATTACATGTAATTACAATTGCATTGAAAATCATGATTGTAAATAAATGTATACAAAAATATTTTAATTATCATTTTTATCGTTTATATAATCCAAACAAATAATTAAGCTCTTATAAATATAAGCTTTCAAATATATTATATCATTAAACTAATACTATTAAAGATATTTTCGAATACTTGTCGCATGACTACTTGAGAACACATTAAAAGGTAATATACTACTTACAACAACTTCTTTTAAAAAAAACTTCTTTAATGACAAATAACAAAACTCTAATCTACAAACTTTAGGGTTTCCCGTTTGAATTATGATAACAGGAAAAAGTTGTCCGAATAAGATAAACAGAGGGCGACCATAGTTGAGGTAAAAGAAGTTATATAAAAAGAAGACAAAAGTTTTTTTTGCCCTGGGGAATTTAACAAACCTTCTGCAAAGGTAATATTGAAATGGTAATAAAATAAAATTATATAAACATAAAAAAATATTTCGATTGAATATTATTCAAAGAAATAATCTTGTGTTAAAGTAATATTGAAATAGTAATAAAATCTAATTTCATTAGCATAAAAAGTCATTTCAATTTCTCATATTATCCGAAAAATATCAAAATTTTAGTCCGTATTTAAAACTATTTAGTTTTAATTTTAGTTTAAATACTCTTTTAAAACCTTGAGCAAATACTGAAATAGTGATAAAATATAATTTTATAAGCGAATAAATGGTTGAATTTTTAATAACGTTTGAAGATTGAAATTTTAGTCGTAATTTAAAATTTTATATATATTCTATCTAACTATGTTCAGTTAAATTGTCAATTAATTCCTGAACATGAAAATATGTTTTTTACTATTTTTCTACAAGTGACATCTGGTACAATCTCATTTGACCCTAGAGGCTGGGTAAAAACAGACAGTCATCGTGTAAACAGATTCAATATCTTATTTATATGTCAATGTGTCTTATTAACTTTAATTTTAGAGAAATTTTAAGAAATAATAGTTGAATTATTTAATCAAAGCGAAATACAAATTTTATGGGCACATTTTTTTTACAAACATTACACCGTATATAAACTTGATATGTTTTTACGTCAGAAATTTATCTTATCTTCTCTAAATTTGCTCTTTTTAACTTAATTGGCTTTTTAAATTACTATTTTTATTGTTTAGAACTTCGCTATGGTAAATTTCAGTTGGTCGTTTTACTTTCACCCCACATGTAAGCTATCATAAAAGTTATTAAAAAATTGTTTGAGCCTAACTTAAAATTAACGATGTACAAAAAAGTTTATTCGTAAACTAAACAACAGTGCTCTAACCAAAAAAACTGAATACGAAAGAAAATACTTTTGTTTAAGTTTTCCAACATTGCCGTTTATCTTTAATTAACGTATACATAAAATTAATATTCGTAAATTAACAACAGTGCTCACAACCAAAAAAACTGATACGAAAGAAAATACTTCTGTTACAGATTTTCAAACTTTGCCGTTTATCTTCTGGTAGCAACGTCCTAATAATCAAGACTGGTTATACATTTTTTTGCCCTCTACTTTCAAATATTGTTCCAAAAAAATCCTAACTTACTAGCGGACTTTAACAACCCCCTCTATCCAGGATACCAAAACTAAATTTATTAAATATAGAAGTTCCGCATTTCCTAAGGCACGATGCCACCACCCCACTATTTTAAATTTTAATTTTAGAGAAATTTTAAGAAATAATAGTTGAATTATTTAATCAAAGCGAAATACAAATTTTATGGGCACATTTTTTTTACAAACATTACACCGTATATAAACTTGATATGTTTTTACGTCAGAAATTTATCTTATCTTCTCTAAATTTGCTCTTTTTAACTTAATTGGCTTTTTAATTTACTATTTTTATTGTTTAGAACTTCGCTAGGGTAAAGGTTCAGTTGGTCGTTTTTACTTCACCCACATGTAAGCTATCATAAAAGTTATTAAAAAATTGTTGAGCCTAACTTAAAATTAACGTGTACATAAAAGTTATATTCGTAAACTAAACAACAGTGCTCATAACCAAAAAAACTGAATACGAAAGAAAATACTTTTGTTATAGATTTTCAAACATTGCCGTTTATCTTTAATTAACGTATACATAAAAATTATATTCGTAAATTAAACAACAGTGCTCACAACCAAAAAAAACTGAATACGAAAGAAAATACTTCTGTTACAGATTTTCAAACTTTGCCGTTTATCTTCTGGTAGCAACGTCCTAATAATCAAGACTGGTTATACATTTTTTGCCCTCTACTTTCAAATATTGTTCCAAAAAAAATCCTAACTTTACTAGCGGACTATTAACACCCGCTCTATCCAGGATACCAAAACTAAATTTATTAAATATAGAAATATTATTCGATACTATAAACACATTTAATTAAAATCAATCTTCAACAATTTTAAGAATAAATTATGAAAATATTGTTATGGTAATACGGATCCCAGCATTTAGTGTGAAATAATGTATATAATGTGAATAGGTGTAAGGATTATACATATGCAGAACAGATTATGCATTATGTAGATACGTGATGATACAAAACAAACCTTTTTCAATTTTGCGATTCCAAAAATTTAATGTGCATGAATATAATAAATAATTAATTAATAAATAATTAAATATAATAGAATAGTTTCATTAATTTTTACTGTGACTTGTATAGGCTACATAATTTTTATTATTATCTTTGTACTGTGCACTACCATTAATCATCAACGAACTATGTAGCAAAAATTTATTTATTTAAGTAAATAAGTTTGTTCACATATACAATAAATGTACGCCATTAAAAAGCTTGATATAACTAAAATAAAATAACTAAATAAACTGATTCCGAAACTAGTTCCGACTCTTTCAAAAACTCGGGTTTTATATTCTACGAGGATTTGAAACGATATCTCTAAACTCACATTGGGGAATATTTAGTTATTGCTAACAGCTATCCTACGGTTTATTACATACGAGTACCATTTCCCATCGGGATATTTTAGATAAATCCTTTATAATTGAAACGTAATCACTGGCTCTCGTTATGCTAATAAGAAATGTTTCATTTTATTATTTTTAAAATAAAATTATAGAAGAGAATAAATATAAATTTTAATAGAGAATAAATATAAAACCTTCAGAAATTCAATTTAATTCAATTATTGTGTAGTTTATTATTTCTGTGTGATTATAAAATTCAAGAAGGGTGCTACACATATAATATCAGTAACATAACTTTGAAAGAGAATTTTTTTAGGAAACAATTTTTGTTGCCTTCTCTATGAATTAATCATTGCTTCACACTGTCAGAAGTTTTTTGAATTATTCTAACCAAATTATTCGCTCTCTCAATAACAATTTTTGCACTTTTTGCGTATCTCCAAAACGACTGAAACTGCCTTTGCAAAAAATCTAATCAGCACATCTCACTGTCAATACGAATCGAATGTTTTTCAATCATTCTTATCGGATCGCATACGATAAGTATTCAGCACGTTCACTTATCAATAGGAATCGAATGCTTTTTCAACGCGCACTGCGGTGTAAAATGGCAATCCTCTCACACAATTCTTCCCTGAATCGAGTAGAATTTTAACTCATCTCACGGCCCTAGTATAGAGCAGCACTACTTAATATATATTAAAATGCGATATGAGTGTGACAGTAGCATGATTTTTTGCTTCATGATGAATTTAAACTAGTGGTGTATGGCATTATGCTATAAGGCAAATCGCTGGAACTTCCCGTTGCGTACCGAAATGTTCGAAGAATACAAAATGTTTTCAAATAAATTGTTATAAATAATGTTATATTGTCTAATACTTATTTATAAGAATTATATAATTCTGAATTACAAAGTTAAAATTATTTATTTAAAGTATGTATGGTAAGTGAACTTTAGAATTTCCAGAATTATAATTAAAATTTGAATTATTTTCGATATACAAAACAAAATTTGAAAAAAAATTGCAACAAAAAATGTTTTTGTACCAAAGCAATTAGTTTGTTAAAAACAAGCAGAAAGTGTTTTGAATCATTCAAATCGGATGCTTAGTTCTCTCAAAAACTGCATATTTTTGTACATTTAGCTCTGTATCTTCGAAATGACTGGATCTGCCTTTACCAAAAACTAATCACCACCTACTCGTCATTACGAACAGATTGTTTTTTGGATCATTCAAATCGGATGCACTCTTTGCCCTGTATCTGCGTAACTGCTGAACATGCCTTTACCAAAAACTAATCAGCACATCTCCCTATCAATAGGAATCAAATGTTGTTTGAACCGTGCGTCCGAAAATGCTGACATACAAAACACACACACATCCGTTTTTTTTCTGAGAAATGCCAAAATGTTTGGAAACCTTCAAAACGTGAAGACAAAATTTTCATTTTCGATTTTCGGCCCATTACAATAACTTACCCTACGGGAAATTATTATAAATATGCTTTCAAGTGAAATTAGTTTTTCCGGGCATTGTTGTAATAACAACAATATGTGTGAATATGTGTGAATATATATATATATATATATATATATATTATATACTAGCTAAC